AAATATAACTTAGTGGATGTTTCACCACTGGATGTAGCTACAGTTTATACAGAATAGACAGAGTGCTCTGAAATAATTGATGATTTGTTATAGGACTGAAAGACATTTAGCAAAATGTAATGAGTTAAGACCGCAAACTAGGATAAGAAGGCATGTTATAATTTATAGCTGGTCTGTATTTACAGAGTTACACAGGAGAATACTTCATAACATAGTTCTTGTGCAATCTATGTAGTCAAAAGTATTTTTGTTAGATATAGTTTATATAAGTGTTTTATTCTTATACTCATAACTTTTAAGTGATCACTTTTATTTTGTTTTGCTTTCAGGTCTCTATCCTTCTGGATGGTACAAAAAAAGTTGTGGAGTATATGACTAAATCTGCTCAGGGAAATATACTGCACTACACTTTCAAGAGTCGAGAAATTTATCCATTGTTTGATCGTCAGTGGCATAAGCTTGGTATTAGCGTGCAGTCAGGGATCATTGCCCTCTATTTGGATTGTAATTTAATTGAGAGAAAGCAGACTGATGAAAAATTCACCATTGACTTGCAGGGAAGGACTCTGATTGCTTCTCGCACTGCAGATGATAAGCCTGTAGATGTAAGTAGGATGAAAGGAAAACTGGATAAGCTGAAATCGTGTTTTAGCCATGCTTTTGCAAACACCTTCGTAAAGAATTATGTAGATAAAAGGTTCAAAACTGGTTATTAATTTTGAGGGTGTATTCTTAATTTGAAGTCTTTAAGTCTTTTTCTCTAAACAATATGTAATGCTGTAGCATCTGCTAAGGCAAACCTTCCGGTACCAAAGTAACTACAAAAACTTGGACCTGGCTTCAGGAGTCTGTTCTTCTGTATTTGCTTTGTAGTAAGAGTCATGTAGTTACCACAGACATATTATTCCTGCATTTAGAGAGAACTTCCAGAGGTAGTTTTTTTTCTTTCAATTTTTGAGATTTATTTATTAATTTGTATCAGTCATTTGTTACAGTTTCTCTCTTTGATAAAGAGGAGGCATAAAAAAATTAAGGATTGCCACTAATCAGGATTGTATCATGTCCCAGGGTAATTCAGCAATGCAGAAACAGGGGCACGTTGTTTATAGTTGTCGTTCCCTCCTCCGAATGGGAGGGATTAGGAAGTGGCTGGAGGTGTGCTTCCTGCAGCCTGTGGTGCAAGAATGACCCAAGGCAGCCTGATAATATTCTGGGCTGTGTTCTGCCCCAGAGATGCTCTCCTCTGTTTCCTCAGGCAGAGAGCTCACAGCAAGTAATTTGAAAGCTCCAGGAAATGTCAGTTTAAGTACGCTGACATCCAGTTACTAGGTTTAAAACATCTGGCTTGGAGTTTGTAGCGACCATCTGAAAGCTTCTGCTGTGTTAAGTACACTGTACAGTTCCAGATGAAAACAGCACATTGTAATGGCAAGCTGGCATTGTGGGAGGAATCAGTCTTGTGAGGCGCTGCACACTTTGGCCTGGACTCAGAGCTCTTATTTCATGGGGCCAAGCTCAAGCTCCATTTTATTTTCCAAGACTGAGTTCAACTTTATTTGAAATGTATACACCATCTCCTCATTTTCAAGCAGCACGCAGGAAGGAGCAGATTCTTTTATCTTGTGTTGGTTGCATGGCACGGGCTGGATAATTCTGAGTGGAAGTTGCCAACTGGGATTTCCACGTTTGTGGGAGAACATTATGGGCATAAAGCTGATGAAGGCAGCAGAGCGGATCCTGTACCAACAGTCACTCTTGTCAATACTAACTGCAAGGGAGAGAATAAGAGAATTCAAAACAGATGCAGAAAGAGGCATACAAGGGCAAGATTAGCTAGTTAAGATTAGGTGCTGTTCATCTCACCAATCCACCCAAAATCTCTGAAATGGAAGCTTTATGTACAGAATTTGTGATATGTGCTCTTCAGGTGATTTAGTGGCAAGGTTCAGGCAAAGGTCTGGACAAAGTGATAGAAGATGTACGTGAGACAGCTTATCAAACTTTTACTCTAGTTGACTGCAGGAGAAAATTATGCTCCTGAAAAGAAGGTTTGCAGAGGATGTCTAGAGGGCTAAAATGCCTCTGTAGCATAGCAAGAGCGGTACAGAGGGATGCAACTTACATGAAGATAAATGAAATCTAGAATGTGATTTACATCAAAGTAATAGACTGCATAATTTGTTCCTTAAGTGAGGAGCTGTGTAAATGTTTTGGATTTGTCTCTTTCTCCAGCATTTCAGAAATACACAGTGTTTCAGAGAGAAAGTTTATTATGCCAAGATAAGAAAATGCATGCCGTAACACACGATTTTTTACATCTCATATTAACCTCTTTTGTATTTCTTAATAGATTGAACTTCACTGTTTAACAGTTTATTGTAATCCAAAACTTGCAACAGAAGATACGTGTTGTGAAATATCTGCAGACCTGGTAAGTTACTTGTATTAATATTTGCATTTTAACAAAAGAAATTGCTTCATTGTTTCTTACTACAGAGTTGTAAAGAAATTTCAATAGAAGTGTTAGATTAATTGCCTCCTAAAAATGAATCCTGTATCTGGAGTCATGGTACATTGTTTCTTGCTGCCTAACTAAACGGCACAGTGGAACTTCAGTAAAAGGCACTAGGTGCTGCTAGTGGTTTTTAAATGCATTTCTTAACATTGATTAATAACTAATTAGTAACTGAGGAAGTCTCAGGGGGTAGGAAACAAATTACTGCAATGACCTGAGGATGCCTTCAAATAAGAGGCCCTTTCAGTAACAATTGTATCTAGTGAAGCATGACAGATGATAAACAAAGCCCATGAAAGAGTCTGCATGACAGTGGAAATGAAGAAAGATAGGAAGGTGTTGAGGGTGTTTCCCTTATTTAGTACACTGACGTGGAGGAATGAATGTTTCATAATGGGCAAATACTTTCCTCTTTATAATGCAGATGCTGAGATGTATATATTGTTTGATATAAGGGAAAACATTGATTTAGTTTAGAGGATTCACTTTTCCCTTTTGATTTGGTAGACAGAATCAGTGTAAACTGGAAGACACTGGAACTATAGAAATGCTTGAAGTTGCGGATGGGATTGTTTTGCTGAATCAAGCCCACTGGAGAAAAAAAAAATAAAGGAAAAAAAAAAAAACTCAGAAAGAAAGTTAAAATATTGGTCTGCTAGTTACGAATAATCTGTAAGAGCAGACTCCTCTGAGATAGCAGGCAGCACCGTCACCGTCCAGCCTGCAGTCAGTGTAAAAACCCAGAGCATGCAGAAGGACTAATTGATTCATCTACAAAGAGATGGGAAAAAAGGGTACCTGGAATGGAGGGATAAAGCTGCCCAAGAACAGAGGAGCAGGATTCTGTGGGAACTGACAACTGATAGTTGCTCAGAAGCATGGAAGAGGCTGGATCTAATTTATCAAGGGAAATGTCAATTTTAAATAATAATTTATCATTCAAATATATTTCAAAATACTTTCGTGATAATAGTGCAGGCCTTCTTGTGAATGTATAAGCTCATGGATAAGTGAAATGAATGGATTTTTCTCTGTAGGTTCCACTTTGTGCATGGAAATACAATTTATTTAGCAGTTATGACACAGTAGCAAAAAAGTAAAACCAAAGCAAACCCTAATTATATATGAACACAAAAAGATCAAGGACAGCCTCTATTAATAGTATCTTAAACATTCATTCAGCTATATAGCTAAAAGTACCATCGGTTTCATTTGTATGTCTTATGTTGAAGATGTAAAAAATGGTGGACTACTTGTTAATGACTTTGATAATGAAACCAGCATTACCTTTTCTGATTTATTTTTTCATTACTTCCTTACCGATTACAAGGGCTACATTTTCAATAATATAAGGGAAGGTATTTATCCCTGCATACTAATTTCTACACCAAGCCATAAATCCTGTGGCAATTTGACAGAAGGCTCGCACAGACCTCATTACGTCTTAATGAGAGCTTCTGAAATTTATCAGGTTCTGTTGACTTGTCCTTAGTATATCTTCAGGTTGGCTCAGCTCTTATGACTTACAGTCAGGTGAATGTTGACTTCAGGGCTTTTTGTTTGTTTCAAAACTGCGTGCTGAAAGTATTTCGTGACCAAAAAAAATGACCGAGTTTTCCCTCGCACTCACACTGACATTTTGCATATTGGGGTGGGGAGTGGAGGATGGAACGAGACTAAGTACCCTCTTTTTTTTTTTTTTTCCCCATGGGTATTTTCTGCTTTTCTACTTCTAATTTTGGGAGACTTTGTTCCTCTGTTTGAGCTCTTTTGGAAGAAGGAAGTGGGTCAGTCGAATCAGTTTTAACTGGCATTGATTTTAGTACAGGAGGATCACAATTGGACTTCGTTTTACTACAGCTTTTTTCTCTGTTTGGCAATTGTTGTGGCTTCTCTGTAATATGCTGTGTACAGGAGCATTAAAACAGAAAGTAGCTTAAAAATAGTCTTTGGATGGTGTTTATCTATTAACCAAAGTGGACCGAATATCAGAAATTCTTCTTTTTGTTTTAGTGCCCACGTGAGGAGAGGTTACTTGCTACAACTTCATCACCAGTGACTGTTCATGCCAGCAAAATATACACGCTTCCAGGAATGCAACAAGAATCTAGAGAGAGATGCCACTGCTTTCCAAATAAAGTATGACATTTTCCTATTGCTTTTTAATGCATCATGCTGTTTAATCCAGTTAAGCTTTAAAAAAAAAAGTTCGATTTTTTTTTTTTTTTGTAGTTATGAAAAATATCTTGCTGGTTTATAGTGTTGTAATGTACTTAAGTGGTATTTCCCTGTTAAGAAACAGTATGTTTTAGATTTAGTTAATTCAAAGTTAGAGTTGCAGAGGCCTGCAAGGTTTGGTTGTCTGAATACACACCAAAAAAAATATCCATGGTAAAAATGAGAATTATATTTAGCCATTATATTTAGTGTAAATGCTTTTATTTGAGAACAAATTATTTTCTACATAATGGTTATTTTTAAATCCTTCTCCTGGGCGTTGCACTATATTTAGTCTGAGTCATTGGCTTTGTTAGATTTTTGTGATAAAGACAAGGAAACCAAACCAAATACATATTTTGGATCTGCTTCTTTGTTGATTTTTGATTTCTTTTAAAATCAGGGAGAAGCAGGATTGCCAGGAGTAGCTGGTTTGCCAGGCCAGAAAGGAGATAAAGGTGAAAAGGTAAAACATCAGTTGAATTCTGTCTTTCAAACCTTTATCTTTGGCTTATCTTTCTTAAATAGAAACTCTGTCGATTTTGTTATTCCTTAAAGGAATGTCCCTGCACCTGGGTTAAATCCTTTATCAGTCGGTCTCTGAGTGTGGGCTTCCCGCCAGGCAGCCTACAGCTGTCTTGCTTTGGGGTCCCCTCACCAGCTCCAGGGAAGGCGGGTTACCTGCCTGGGAAGCACATGCCTGCCCAACCCGGTCAGCACGTCCTATTGCCTGTTCCCCTTAGCCAAAGAAAGAGAAGTCATGTTATGTCGTCTGTGACAAGGGTTTTCCCACATCATGTGTGCACGTCGCTGCTGATGGATAGAATTCTGTGTGGTGGATTCATCCTTGCGCTCATCAGTAGGAGGGTATGAATTGACTCCTGTGACCTCAGCACTGTATGTTCTTTGACATCGCTCTTCCTTGAAACTTTCTTAATTGTCAAGAGAGAGGGACTTGCCATTGGCAAGCCCCTGAGACAGGCCAGTTGGTGCTCCTTTCTGTGGGCCTGTTTTGTAGTTTTCTTCTGTAATGCTTACCATGACATTCCTGTGCTATTTAGCTTGGGGGTTTCCTAATAGTGAAGGTCAGCATAGCAGATGTTTTCCCTTCATACTCCATTCCCTAAATTTGGTTGGAGGATGTTGGATTAGGACGTCTCTGAGAATGTGTTTTTCTTGTGCTAACAGAGGGGGCAGCTTGAATAAACTGTTGCAAATCAGCCAGAAAGACGGGGGACAGGAATTCTGAGTTCAGGGAATGCAGTGTGAGGGGAAGTTACCTGGAATGTCCTAATCCAGAGGTTAGGATGGAGGTGTCCTAACCCAGTATCCTGCCTCACGGCACGCTGTTTAATACACGATCTGAAATAGTTTGTGAAGACAGCCAGCACTGTTCCTGGGCCTGCAGTACCTGGCTGAGATGGGTCCAGTTCTGAGAAGGCTTATCCACACAGTCAGTTGAAATTAAGTAAATTCCTTGATAGTGCCTTTCCCCTCCAACTCCTTTTCTCCAATATACATTTCACTTTTGATACTAGCTGTAACTTTTTCCTAGGTGGAAAAAAAAGTTCGAGCACGTTAGCTTCTATAGCCCAGCTGAACCTAGAGAGTTTGCTGGCAGTTTCCAAATTTACTCATGAATTTTTATTGATCCTAGGTCTGAGTATATAGAACAATTGTCAGTGTTAGGGTTAGCCTATGTTACCAACATAGGGAATTTCCTAGCATTTATTTGGGAAACTGCTCTTCTGCTGCTGATGTGATCCGTATAGACTATTACTGCTGCTAAGATGAGAGAGGAGACTTCAGAAGGCCAATATTTTTACCATTCTGTCTCACAGCCAATTAGCAATATTTACCATACTAAGCATAGTGCCTCTAAATAAAGCATGTGGGTGCCTGTGGTTGACCTCCAGTTCTGTTCTGTTCATTTTACAAAGAAACCCTCACTGCATTGATTCAAAACCCATCCAACAGTCAATGAACCCTTTCAACTTCTGTGCATTACTGATAGCAAATTGCATGAGGCCATGTCTGACAATGGTAATTACAAAGTACAAAATTTTTGGTTTAGATATAAAACTGAAAATTGTTAAGCTTGAGATTCATGAAAAGAAATCTTTCAAGATTTATAGAAATAGTGGGGTTTGGTGTTTTGTTTTTTTTTTTCGGTAGTGGCCTACTACCTATAAATCCAAATTTGATCTGTTTATCACCAGCCACTCTGATACTTCACTGAATATTTAGAGCCTGAGCAGGTTATGTGCATCCAGCAGCTTAACCTAATGATTGTAAATTGGCATTTGTGAATGTCAATTCACAACATTCAGTGAATCAGCAGGTTAAAGTCAGAGGTAGTACAGCAAAGAACTAGAAAGCTGCTTAATTTGAATCTTCCTTATAGTTGACCAGTACTTGCTACTTACTAGCTTTTTTGGGGTGGTTTGGTTTTTTTGGTTTTGTTTGGGAGTGGGTGGAGGGCACATTACTGTGGTGATTGAAAGGATCGTCTCACTGCTGACCTTTGGGAGAAAACAAATACTGCCTTGAATAGTGCCTGCCATCATGGAGTGGAATGCCACGTTCTTGGAGGCTTTAGTACCATTTTTTCCTTTGCCTCTGCATTTATGCAAGTTTTCAGTAACACTTGCTCTCAATGATGGCCTTTTTACATCAGTAATTAGAGGTGGAGAGCCAGCAAGACCCCAGACCATTCCAGACATGCGAGATACATGATTTATTGCCAGATTATGTAAAGGAGAGTAACAGACTGTGGTTGGATGTCTTATAATATGTTATACATGCAATAGGCAGCTTCCTGATGACTCTGCTGGCCAGTCACAAGAAAACGGGATTTCTGTAAGTTGTCTGATGGTTCTTCAGCCTATGTTTCCCACTTTGCTTGTGCTCAGCTCCTCATTTTATTGCTTTCTTTTGCTTCTAAATCATATTATCATTAGCATCCAACTAACTATATTTAAATGTCCTTGCCGTGGCAGCATCTGAGTTAAAACAAGTTGAATGTTAATTTTTTAGTTTCTTTCCTAGGAAATTTCTGTATCCATTGATACTATCTCTTGTTCAGCATGACATTCTTTATCCTTTTATTTTATGTTAATCTCATTCAAATTTCCCATCCACTGTAATTAATTGTATGAGTGAATTTACGTGTCTTTTTGTTGCTGTGGGACTGGCAAGAAGGTCTCTACATACATAAATTGGTGTTAGGCTATATTCAAGCACCCCAAAATTGCCTTTCTCTTTGGTCTAACATAGTTGTTCCCTAAGATCAGACTCTGTTTTCCTGTTCAAAAATATCTAAGCTGTCACCAGTACAAAGCACGGTACCTGATAAGCCATTTTTAGGCATTTTAAATTTAATAATTAGCCTGTTTCCCTTCATTTCTGTACACTTGGCAGTCCTATACTCTTGGCTCATCTTAGTACCTCTGGACAGGTCTGAGCTGAAGTCCAAAGTATATTTTGGGTCCAAATGACTGAAGTGCCATATTGTCACTGGAACAAGCGTTTGTGCAAATATTGATGTACCTCTGGCAAGCTGTCCATCTGAATGTACGGGAGCATCCCTGATCAAAATTATTCCATTTGTATGAGTGATCTTCCTATTTGTATGCCTGCCTTCCATTAAGGCTTCATGAGGACATTGTGAAGACAGTTCTTCACTCAGCAACAGAAGCGTTATCTCTGGTGCTTTGGGGGTGAAGAAACTGCTCAGTTTCAAGACCGTGTCCCTTCTTAAATGACCAGACTGTTCAGTTTGGTACCATACACCTCCTCCTGTGTAGCAAAACCTGCTTGAAGGGCAGTAGTCCCTGTCCTTTTGTTTCCTGTGCAAACTTGGATCCAGGAATGTTTGCTCTGCAGGATTTTATTTGCTGGGAGATCAGCTTCTGCATCTATTTGCAACAGGGGACAACCTCCTGTTCCTTAATGTCTGAATAATTAAGACTCAAAAAGTCACCAGGACCAACTTTGCTGCTTACTGATCTCTGCCCTTGAAACACCCTTTTTTGGACTGCCTGATAGCTTTCTCCTGTTGGACGAAAACTGAGAGGCAGCAGCAGTCAAGTGTACAATTTAGGTTATCCCTGAAGAATATCCCATGTTACTGTCATGGTAGCTTGATTCTTAATGCAGTGTATTTCACAAATTTCAAGTGGCCGCAAGTCAGGTGGAAGTCTCCTGTGATTTAACACATTTTGATATCTGTTCTGTAGAGCTAGGTTTCTTCTTCTGCTGAGCTGAGTGATAAATTTCCTGTTTTCTGTTTTGGAAGCAATTTCTACTACTTCAGCATGGTGTATAACTACTCAGACTTTTACAAATATATTCACTGTTAGCGAAGGTCTTCTGATCACTATGTGAAGGTCCTGTTTTGTCCTCAATATGTAGAAATTCTTCAGAAAGACAGAATATGGATCATAGTAACTGGAATGACTACATATATACTGAATATACTAATTAATTTTCTGTATCAAAGAGGCTAAAAAAAGTAATTGTATATTATCTTCTTTATTTTTATTTCTTTTAAACAAACTTAATGCCCATGAAAGATTTTAAATTGCAATTCAAAGAGAATTAATTTTTTTTATATAATATTGAACCATTCCAAGCTCTGTTAATAGATCATTGGTTAATGCTGTAAGTACAGCAGGGAGCAAAAAGCCAGAGGCAGAGTGCTTTCAAACATTAAAGTGCCTGCTGATGCACACCATGGAGAAATTTATTGGCGTTCAAGTAAGCTTCATTAATTTACATTTTACTTGGGGAAAAAGATGGTTAAAAGGCTATTTTAGTATTGGTAGAGATAGCTTTATGCAATATATTGTTGCACTAGGAAAATATTTGTAATAGCATGATAAGAAAAAAGAACTCATGGAGAACAAATGAGGTCCCTGACTGCTCTTTCTGTCTATTTTCCTTGCTAGTCTTCCTCTCCTCCTCTGTCGTTCCTTTTACAACCCAGGTCCAGCTGATTCGACCTAAGGCATATTTATTGTGTTATGCAGCCCTGAGAATAGTTCCTTTCTGGTCCAGTTTTTGTTGCAGAGGTTATTGATAGGGACCTAGGGGCTGGAATGCGTGAGAAAGGAAAATTTTGGGCAAAATACAGCTGACTGTCAGTGATGACAAAGTCAGGAATTGCCAGTGTACTTGGTAGACTAAAATCTTATAATGGGCAGAAGGGAAAACTCCATGCCTATGGAGCTAAGAATTTATAGGTAGTCCTACTTAGTGTTTTAACCATCTAATAGTCCAAGTTATCAAATTAATAAGGAAAAACATAATTAGTAATACAGTTTGTTTTCTTAAAAAAAAAAAGAAGTCCAAATATATACCTCTTTTCTATGTTACTGTATTGCTAGTTCCAGTATTCATCTCTAGTCCTGAGGATGGCAGTTTAAGCACCCCTCAAGAGGGAGCAGAGAGGCTGGCAGTGAGTGCTTAGCACCCTGAGTGCTCAGAGGTTTGGGAGGTGTCACCCCCTCCCCAGTGGGGCCACCCCAGAGCTGAAGCTGGAGCAGGGGAGGCAGCCGGCGCTGGGCCTGGCACAGGGGTTAAACCAGCGACACCCAACTCCGGCCATGACAAGGCTGAGCCCCTGCACTGCCGCTGGGAGTGAGAGGGATGATGATTCCTGGGCTGAATACTCCCTGCTTCTCCCCCAGGGCCAGGGAAACCCTGGAGTGCTGCTGCATTCGGGATGAGTTTCCTCTCTCATCCTTGGAAATTCTCCGAATTTGAATTTATTGTATTTATCAACTAAGAGTTCCTAATGAGGGTTTGGTTTTTGGGTTTGTTTTTTTTTTTTCTCCCCAGGTCTAAGTATTTCTATCACCATTTTATAATCATGAGAAATGTTTACCTGTCTGTGCATCTAAGTTTTAAATTTTAGCTTACGTAATTTCTTACAGGGATTGCCTCTGCCATTAGTCATATTGATGACAGATCTAGTATAAAGGATGAGTTCTCTACATTACCTGTTTCACCTTCCACTTTATCACTTTTGGAAACCCTGCCAGTACCCTGTCTGCTGGGAACAACTCTCTTCAGAGTGTGCTGATACTTCTTTCTTGATAATAATACACATTTTCTTACATGGACATTTCCAGTGCTGTTGGCACACCTAACTATGCAGAGATGAAAACCAGGAAAGCTAACTTACTTAACTAAATCTTACAAAACCAAAACTGATTTTGGTTAAGGAGCGTTTTGACAACTGACATAGGTTACTCATTTTATGTAAGCTAATATGTCCCCATTGTAGACAAGAGCAATACTGTAATGCGGTGCTGTAGCAGTGTGTGCTCTACGCCACATTAATGTATGTCATTCTGTCTATTAAGTGCATTTGCTTTTATCTTAGTATTAAAATCATCATCTGTACCTGGTTAGTACAGAACCCTGCTGAGAATATTTTCCTCCTCTCAAAATTCCTTGTAGAGTTTGTTTTCTAGATTAAATATTAATGTGTCAAGTTAATCCTACTCCATATCACAATGGAAATATATTTTAAATAGATTAGCAATTTAAGAGACAAAATAATGTGTTTAAAATACTTAAAAGAGTGGCTTTTGGTTTTATATGAGGAAGGACTGTCATTTGTTAGTTTAAATAATTACCACTTTGTCATTCTCTCTGTCACCAGATTTGGCTTTAGGCTTTTTGCTGTACATGACTCTTCAATAGTAATGTGTGGTATAGGAATCAAGGTCCTGTATTTTGTGTCTGCTACTAGCATATCATTTCTAGTTCTGCAACAGGTGCACTGAATAAAGGCTGCACGATGCAAAGAGGTAAAGATCAAGTGCTTTTGAAATTCTCCGAGTTATTAATGTAAGAAAATGATCACAAGTGTAATACTGCAGGTGGTCTCAGATGTGGAAAATTGTTTCCACTTCAGATAGAAGGCTGATTGGTATCACTGGAAAGAAGCATGTTTGCTGTCTGCAATCTCTTTTAAGAATTTAGTTTGACTTGACTTTACAGAAAGTTGACAGAAGCTTCTTCTTTTTTTTTTTTTTTTTAAATTTTCATTTCAGCCCGCTAAATTTCCACCCTGTCTACTTACGAGTTGACCAAAATAAATATTGTCAAAATTATAGTAACCATCCTATTCTTCGCAAATAATCACGTTCTGAAAAATGTGCTGTGGATTAAATATTTTGTTCAATAAGTATCTTGTGCTCAGTTGAAAATGATTTTCACTGGTACCCTTAGTAGAAAATCCTAATGGTAGACTTAAAGCTCAGGGTACTACCTTTGAATGTTGTTACACTGAGCGTAGCTCATAACCTATAAATGCCAGCATTGTACTGCTAGTGTTCACTGGCTTCTGAAATTGTTCTTCTGGCAGCATATATTTCTCTTGGCTTTGGTAGTTCTAAGCAAATGCAATTCTTTATTCCCATTCTTACTAATTTATTTACATAAACTTAAAAAGGTCAGTTGCAATGTGTGTCAGGAGTTTAGAATACTGTTGTTAAGGCACAAAAGAGATTTATTTAGGGGTAGATGTAGTCCTAATGGTCAGGAACCCTGGTTTTTCATCTCATTTCTATACTTTTGGCATCTACTATGTAAGAAAGAGAAAAGGATGCTTTTTCACTTCTGTGAAGGACTTTGAGATCTGCAGAAGCAAAGGAAAATGCCATTAAACAAAAAAAGTAGGCAGAAAAACCCTTAAAAATGCATTTGCTCTATTTTTTTTTTTTTTTTTTTGGTTCTGTCACGCTGCCTGTGTAAATACTGTTATAGGTTGTACAACCTGTAGTATCTGATCTTTAAACTCATTGAACAAAAGCATGAAAAACTAGAACTTTTCAGACTGTGGTTATTAAAATCACAAATGCAAGATAGAAGTATAACTTTATGATTTAATTTGCAGTGGAAAATAATTGTCTTCGAGGTGGGGAGTCTGCCTGCAGTTAGTGGAACAGAAGTGTAAACATACCTTGGTTAACTGGCTAGTAAGTCGTGAATGCTAAAGGCTTCCTGGCGCGTAGCAGGCTGTGTAATTTTAGACTATACAGTATGTAAAAATACACTGCTGAATGTAATGAAGTCGTTCTGGTCTATTAAAATACTGGCAAGTGGCATAAGGGAACAGAGGGTGCCGAGACAAGAGAGTCGCACTGTGGGTGATACGGTAAGGTAACCAGAGGCCAGCCCTGCTTATTTAGCTCTCATCGTGCCAGGGGGTTCACGCTGTTTGTGTGCACAGGGTTGTGGTCTGCTTTTGAGGTAGAGATCACTAAGGGCCGTTCCAAAATTTCAATAAAGAGGACAGAGATGGAGGGGTACGGGCTGGGAGCGCTCAGAGGCTGCGGAGGGCACTGAACACGTACATTCAGTGGCCTAGATAAAGCATTTGTGCTACGCTGTTGAGTTCCAAAATTTGAATAAAGAGGACAGAGGAGATGGAGGGGTACGGGCTGGGAGCGCTCAGAGGCTGCGGAGGGCACTGAACACGTACATTCAGTGGCCTAGATAAAGCATTTGTGCTACGCTGTTGAGTTGAGCATCTGCTGCCCTATATGTAACAGAAGAAAAAGAAGTCGCTGCAACACTGTGTGTCTATCCAGAAACTGATATTTGTTACTGCAGAGTGGCTTTATTGACTAAACTGATGAACCTTGCCTAATACCACGAAGTTTCTGCATATGCTGAATATCAGAATTACGAGTTTCCAGGATTCTGCTATTTAAATTTACGCACTTGGTGAATTTAGAGGTCTTGGGCACCAGTTCCTCAGTAGGGGCTTTTGGGTTTGCGGTTTTAGATTTGGGCTCCAAGCCTAGGTTTGCAACCTGTTTTAAGAACCAATTATTTCTCTAAGTGTGACTCTTCTGCTTCTTTGTGCAACCCTTTTTCTTGAAGAACAATTTGATAGTTAATTCTTTTCAAACCAGTGACGTTTTCTTCATAAAGAATGGATTACTCCAATAGAGGCTGTGGCGTTTTCTGGAGAATGTTCTCTTCTTGGTACAAGTAGACAAACCTAATATTTTGTTTTGTTTTTAAATGAAGACTGCAATATGGTTTCAGTAGTTTTGTTATATTCCTCTAGCGTCCACCCAATTTTTCTTTTAAACGTTGTAACCCTTATACTTGACATTATTAAGCAAAATTTTTTTGTTGGATGTTTTCTTTAATCATTTTTAGGACTTATGGTCCAGTTTGCAACTGCTGGGTTCTTCCATATCAGTAGGTCATTTGTCTCTTAAAACAAAAATTTTCTTATAGATTGCTGATGGTTTGAGGTTTGGTTTCACTGTTGGGGTAAAAGGGAGGGAGAGAGGAACTGAGTTTAAATAGTGTCTTTTAAAAATATTGTGGGCACGTGACTTTAAGACAAAACAAACCTGTATTACATGTTGAGTTTTCTCAGTGTAGAACATGCTCAACCCAGTGAAAATGGACCCCCTTGGCTTCAGTCTGCTGTTGCAGTGAATTCCCTTAAAATCAGCAGCCCTGCTTTTTATGGAAATGTGAAAGTATTTGTCAGATGAAGGCCTTAATTGACATTATAGGTGTTTTAAAATGTATTTATTTTGTCTAATGTTAGTGTTACATGTAGGGCATCCTCCTCCACAGTGATTACGTTACTAAGCAAGACAAAAAGAGGGTGGAAGATGCTGTTCTGTTGAATCAGATATAACCTGAGTACTTGTTGTTAACATCAGATGTCTTTAGAACTTCTAACTAAACAATTTGTTTTGTAGGGTGAAATGGGCATGAAAGGACAGGATGGTCTTGCTGGTCTTCCTGGCGAAAAGGTATGTTCCTGTATATTGATATGTAATTTGACTCCCGGGAAGTGTTCATTATGTCAGTGGCTTATCTGTAATTATGTACACAAATGGGAGAATAGAGCAACTCTGTTAGAAAATGAATTTCTCCTACCTGCACTGCCATGTTTTGGCAGTTTGTTTACTTTTGTTTACTTTTCTGTAGGTACCTGTTGGTGCCACAATTTTAGTCATATACTTGACCAGAGAAACCTTTGATTTGATCCGGCTAGGCAGTTTTTACTTTACCGTGCTCCCAGACATGAGTTAATGGAAAGAGTTATTGTAAAACATTGTAGATTGAATGAGCTTGATCTAGAATGAAGCTGTATTTTCCCTTGGCTCTTTCTGTAGCTCCTTCTCTGATGTTATCTTTATTTAAAATTACCAGGCTACATTGCTTTTCCAGTACAAGTTGTTATTACAGTTTCCATGGTTAATACTGTTTGGATTTTTTTTTGTTGTTGTTCTGTTTGTTTTGTTTGTTTTTTTGCTTAGTGCCTTGCAGATTCATTGTCAGACCAAATCCCAAAGCTCCTGTTAGTTTACATAAGGTTCAACAGTCAGTTCATATTTAATATCAAGATACTGTACTTCTCCTGAACATTGTAACTCTTTTAATTCAGACTACATAAAAACCCTACTATTGTTGCAAATTAGAAATGAACTGCTATGTTAATCTGAAACTGGCAAAACCAAAAGCTGTTTAAAAAAAAGGCAAACAAAATATTTTATACGTGCATAGCTAGATGAAGAAACTGAGATCCAGCCACCCAGCTTCTGCTAGCTGGAGTTGTCACATCTACGCAGAGTAGTACAGTGCTGTGTGGAATTATTAACTCCTTTCTGGAGGCAGAATCACTTTATTGTCCTCATCATGAATGGTGTCAACGTGCTCTGTCTCTCAGTTAATGAATCAAGGGCTATGTAAATTCGTGTGCGTCTGTTATTTTTGTGCTCCTTTTTCTGGGATGTACTGGATGCTAAAAATGTGCATAGATTCAAAGACAACTGAACAATATAAAGGAATAAAAATAGTCTGAGCACTGTTATATACAAAGGCGTCTCCTATGTTTCAGCAACTTAAGGTGCAGACAGTGCCATGCTAGGATGGCGTTCTCAGGAGCTACTGCTGTTTGTTTATCCTCTTAAACCCTTCAATACGCATTATCTTTTGTTGGCGATGTTATATTTGTTTGACTGGTATGGCTATTTTTATGTTTTTTTTGTACTGTGTTTTTCTGAGCTTTGTGCAGATGTGCCCTGAATCACTAGTTAGAAATAGAAAAAAGAAGCAAGAAACTGTACGTTTACTTTTATGTAAATGCAGTTTGAGGCTTTGGGGAGCAGAAGGGCTCTTTCTGATACACCCAAAACCTGTCCACTGGACTACTCCATTGTTCATACTGCTTCTCCTGGGGAAAGGTTCAGAGAATAAATACCTTACAGATCTTACTCATGTTGCTATGAGTAGACAACAATATCAATTCTTTTGACCTGTTTTAGAAGTTTACCTTAGAATGAGATAAACTTGACTATTAGAAGGCCTGTTTCTGTAGAAATGATTAGCTCAAACATACCTGACATTGTAGTGAAAAACTAAAATTAAAATAATCCTACCCAATATACTTTATTACTTGAAAGAATCTTACCAGGAGAATCTCCCAGGAAAAAGTCCCATGGTTGTATACTTAATTTTCAAGATCTGTGTAAATGATGAGAAGTCTCTAAGGCTTCATATATGGCATTGACTTTTGGGGATCTCAAGTGTGAAGATTGTGTAGCTCACGTATCTTCAGTCTGTCTTCAAATTTGACATTTGGCCGTTTGTCATTTGTAAGCCATATTATTGCTGACAATGTAATTTCCCATTCGCTAAATGCTGCATTGGTTTTGCAACAGCTGTACTGGCTAATAGGTGCAGATCTAACTGATGTAGACTTCTAGGAGGTTCTTACCATTTGAGAGGTTGGATCTGCTGAGAGCTAATACAGAGAACAAAGTAGAAGTCTTGATGACTCTAGGGTGACATAAGAATAGCCTTAACACCCAAAAGAAAACAGGTAAGTGTTCAGGCTGTAGTTCTGCAGTCTTGCTGGTTTTTCTACTGCAGTTCCTGTGAGCTGCCAAAGTAAAGAATGAGGTTTCCACTGACTGGCAAAACACCAGGACGTGCCTGTCACCTCATCTGCCTTCAGGGCAAAAGCAGTCAGTGTGGCAGTGCTGATGTCCAATCTCAAGTCAAGAACCAAATGCGGTCCCTGTGGAGCCCTACCTAAGACCCCCAAAGTCACAATACAGTAGATCGTGGACACCATCACATATATGACTCTCTATTTGATGTCTAACTACATAGTTCCTTCATCCTTGTCCTTTTTCGGGGAACCGTCTTTAGAGATATTTTTTAAATAGTAGATCCTACTTAGGGTAACAGAAGAAATTCTTGAGAGTATCAGAGGAAAGAGTTTTGTGGTATTAGTTTGTGGTTCTGAAAAATAAGAGGGTAGTAGTACTCCCTTGGAAGGAAACTCGCTTCATTTGTAGACTGTCAGAAGATGTGGAATACCTTACCATGATCCCCTTCCTGCAACCAGGACTGATTGCAATCAGCCTTCTGGGGTCACTTCTTCAAGGTTATCTGTCAAATCATGATACAAGAAGAACTGGAATGTTGTGGTAAATCAGAATCACTATGTGTGTGAGACCTTATGCCTTGGCTTTCTGGAGGTGCTCAGCAAAGTCTGTGAGGACAGGAGAAACACATGTCAATGGAAGCACTGTGTTAGCCTACTTTTTGAAGATTAGCAAGTGCAGTTGTCTCTGGGTGCACTTCTGAAGCCATTTAGTATAATTGGATTGCAGCCAGAGTGCTGGCTGTATGGCCTGAGAAATTAAATCTGTCCCTGACGCAGAGGTCTGAGGTGACTGGAGTGCTCTACGGTGTAGGATGCCAGTTGCCTATCTGCTGCAGATCAGGCTCCACAAGTTAAAGCAACCGTGATCTAGCAGTTAGACTAACCTTATTATGACAAGGCGAACGGATTGCTCTGCCATTAAGAATGGTCTTCACAGCATTGCCGTGTGCAGGGTCACACCACCAGTGTCATCTGAGCAAGGCTGATACACTGCTGGGAAGTGTTCCTTTTTTAAAAGTTTCATTATTTTCCTTGTGTTCATGTCATACTGAAATGGTGAGAGGACTCTCCTGTTGGTGAGACCCACCCCCCTTTACTGAAGTCGTCGTGTCTTCTTACCTCCATATGGGTTGCGTGCATGCAGGTCCTTTCCGTAGCACCTGCTGGGGCATAGATACAGATAAGATGGTCAGCGTCACTGCTATGCGTTGTGCGTCAGGAGAGAGCTGGGTTAGGCTCTCTGCTCTTCCAGCCCAGGAAACAATCAGACTTTGCACAAAACATATCACGTGTTGGATCCTCCTTTTGTAGTATGCTTCTAGGCCTTCCAACTAGTCTGGTAACTTAAGGAGGTGAATGCTTTGAACCATGACTAGAAGATCAAGTATTCCAGCCTTAAAAATGTGTTCTTAGATCTTTTCTGAGGAGAAGAGAGGGGAGGAAGAAAAAAAAGCCACCAGATCTTTCTGTTCTGATTTACAGTGAGTTCATTCTGTCCCTTTCCTTTCCTGAGATTTTGTAAACTTGGATGAGCTGGGTTTGATTTGCCTCTGTATAGTTGAGATTTTTCTGTTTCCTGCGTTTCTTGTGTCACTCAACTGAATAATTTAAGTCCTTGCCTTCTCTTTGCTTCTGGGTCTATAATGCCATGACAATGAAGCTCCAGATTAAAAGTTTGTTTATGTCCTGGATGCTAGGTGATGTAGTCATGTTTGGATTCGGTTTTGTTTGGGGTTTTTTGGGTTTTTTTGTTGGTTTTTTTTTTCTGGTCTGTGATGCCTTTGCAGTCAAGGTGAACCTCTCAACTGTTCTGACATATCACATTTAAGGGTGAACGGTCTCTGTGTACTTGAAATGTTTAGTGAGAAAGTTCCTGGTTTTAAGAGATAGGTTGCCACCATGGCACGTACTTTGATACAAAGCACTAAGCCTCTTGGGGAGTTATGGCTTATGTGTGTCATGGGTCCTGCTAGACAAAAAGCTCTTAAACTTCTGAGAACGTGCTGGTGGCAACAAGGCTCAAAGGACTCAAGCTGCTGAAGGTGAGCAGTTGGCTCTGTTCTTGGCCATTCCATATTTGTCTGTTTTTTTCTGTTGTGATAATACTTTTTTTTCTTTCTCCATCATTGCATTCTGAAAAATAAAACTGATATAGCCAGAAATGTAATTCAGAAAATTCAGAAGACTTACTTTGGACCGACTCTCACACTTACCAAACTCTAAACTGGTTTTGTCTGTTTCCCTTTATCCAAACCTACATAGTGATTATTTTCTTATAGTTCATGACATGCGATTGATAGTGATGGAGATGATGCATCTATGTTTCTTAAACTACATTTTGTGAAATACTTGTGACACCATTCACTTTTAATACTTGACTTTCAAATGGCTTAGCTCTACTGTTGTAGTTTTTTGCACCAATTTTTTTGCAACCTAGATTATGAACAGGCATCCTAAAGTATTAACGATACCGAACAAGCTTTTTAAAATAACTAGTTTTGCATGGTAAGCCTGAAGAAGCAGTGAAATATTCGATATGCTGTGCATTTGCTACTGCACTGTAAGGGTACGCCCACAGTGTATTAATAAAATAAACAGTTTAGACAGACTGAAAGGAGAAAGAAATGCTTATGTGAATAAAAACAATGTTTATCACTACACAACTTAGATTTATATTCAAAGTTGGACTAGAGAAAAAAAACTGAGTGTATGTTTCAAGAGCTCTACTAACTATACGAGTGCTATTTGTGCTTCAAGAATCATGAAAATGAAATTAGATTTACGTGAAACTGCAGTAGGTATCTGTAAAAGGATTGTTCCTTCTTTTGTTCACTTGTGTGTATTTGTGACAAT